TCATCATCGTCGTCGTCGTCGTCGTCGTCGTCACTGGTCGCTTCACCGCTTAGAGATGGGTCACGATCGTCATTGTCTTTGTCCTCGCTCTGGTTGGAGTCCGATTGAGCCTGCTCGGCATCGATGCTGTCGACGCGCTGGGATATCTTGACGCGTTTTGCGGTGATAGCGCGGGCATCTTTGGGGATGTCGTCCGAAGCATCGCTATCTTGGTGGTTGCTGGATGTCTCGTCGTCGGATGGCGAAGCTTGTTTGCGCTTGTTGACACCGTTGGAGGGGACGCGCAGCGCTGATGGCTGGTGCGCAGAGTCTTGGTCCGATAAGGCGTCGTCATGCTGGTCGTCGGATTCTGGATCCGAGCTGTCTGGCTCTTGAGGCGAGTCGGGCGGAGAGTCAGCGGGTGTGGCGATGCGTGCGAGGTAGTCGTGTAATTTGTGATAGGCAGCCTGGTCGCCAGCTAAGGAAGCCATTGCGATTGGTTTCATGGCGTCGGGTAACGAGTCGAGGAGTCTGCGAATCTGGACTTGATGGTCTTCATCGCTGTCCTCGGCGTCGGTGGCGCTTTCGTCGTCTTCTTCCGAGGAATGGGCAGCTTGGGCATGGTTGGGATCGGCAAAGATGCCAAGGAGGCCGTCCAAGTCGGCTTGGTCTTCGCTATCGTCATCTTCGTCGTAGGCGTCGTCCGAGGTGTCTGCTTCGGGATCGATACCGTCTTCGTCCATCTGGCAGATGCGGAGCTCTGCCTCTGCCTGGAGGAGGGCCTCCTCGGCGAGTTCTTGGGCGCGGGTCTGTTTTGCCTTTCCTTTGCGCTGGCTTCTGCTGCGGGAGCCCTCTCCTGCGTCGGCGGCGGCGCGCTCGTCGATGTCGCGCTTGATGCGAAGTCGAGCGTTTCTGCGCCACCTGGCGGCATCGGAAGGGACGAGGCCATCTGGACGAATGGGCAGCTGTGGCCTGCGACGGCCGGGAATGTAAGAGGGGAGCTGGCCAGGAGGAGCATAGACGATGAGGCCGTTGGGGTGGACCCTGTCGACGAGGCCGCGTGGATGGAGGTAGCGATGTGCGGAGGGCGGAAAGAGCAAGAAGCGCTTGTATCCGGACAAGAGGATGTAGAGGTTGTCGTGGAAATCGTGGTGGAGGCCGCTGCTCTTGCCTTCTTTGCTGTTTCCGAGCCAGAGATTGCACTGCTGAAGGACGAGGTTGCCGAGCAGGGCGGGTCTGGCGGGAAAGTCGTTGGAAAGCGCGTCGGTTGGAGAGGGCAAGACGGGATCGAGCTCGGGCTCGTTATCGCTGTCGTCGCAATCTGGGTCGTCGGCGGCTTGATCGCTTGATGCTGATGCGGCTGACTGGGCAGCGTTGTTCGGCTGCTCTGTCTCGTCGACGTATTGTGTGGTGAGGTACCATTTGCCTTGGTCGGAAGGGTCTTGGAGCATTTCGAGGAAGGATGCAAACTTGACCTTTTTCCTCTTGACCGAGGTGCCGAAGTGACCTGCGGCGGGATGGATGGGCTCGATCTTGACGGGTGCATGGCCTGCTGCTGACTTGAGATAGTCGAGGTCGGTCCACTTGGCAGCCTTCCAGTCTGGATCTTTGAGCAGGCCGTCGATGACGACGGGGCGGCGCTGGCTGATAAAGTGGGTCCACATGTCGTCTGCGGAGATGGAGTCGCGGACCTTTGCGATGCTAGGATGCGGAGAGTCGGGCTGCCATCCCTCGTAGCCGTCCAGACGGAGCGGCAGGGCGGGGATGCGGACCATATTGACAGGAAAGCTCGACGTGCGGACGCCAGCAGGCCGGGCTCGACGGCGGGGTTTGGAGGACGCGCCCTGGATGTGTCTGCGGGTCTTGCCCAGGCTATGGCTATGGCTCGAATCAGTTATGTGGTGTGTGTCTGGATGAGAATGCAAAGCTGAACCTTTGGCGGATAGGAGGAGGCGAGAGGCGAAGAGGTGAGCCGTGCCCAGCAACACAAAGGCAGCTCAGCTGCTCAGCTGCTCAGCGCTCTAAAAAAGCCAAACCTGCCAGAATCTCAATCAATCAATCCATCAATCACTCAGCAGCTCCCTCCAAATATCACTCTCTCGACTCTGCATTTTGGTTTTTGGACCCTGACTGCATCTTCCGATCGGCGATGAGCAGACACCATCGGCATTCCAGTCATCGGGAGCAGCTTCGAATCGGACCCGACTGGCGAGCCGACTGTCGCTGGCCAGAGAGAGAGAGAGAGATCGACCCAGCAAACTGCGGCAGACGCGGCAAATCGCTTTGGATTGGATTGGAATTTGCGGCTTAAAAAGCCGCTTTCTGCTGGTTGCCTTCAAACCACCAACCACCCTTTCGCAACTATGGTTCTTGCCTGAGCATCGAGCCTCCACAGGCTCCTGCATGTTTTGTCTGACTTTCTTGTTCCCCTCCTCATCCTGGCTAGCTCATCCTGGCTAGCTAGCAATCTCCGTCCTTGCCTCGATCCCCCTTGGCCTGGAGAGGATGATGGCATGCGTCCACTCGCCTCGTCTTTGATACTCTGATCTCTTCGCACAGTCTCTGCCATCCGCCAACGACATGTCGAGCACCGCTGCTGCATTCGGCCGCGCGGCGCACGATGCCGAGCTCAAGCTCGCAGGCGAAGAGCAGCTCTCCACCATCCGCCGCATGGCCCAGGTCGTGGCGCGCATCTTTTACGAGGACCGCCACATCGTGCTCATGGACCAGCTCGTCAGCATCACCGTGCTCCCCGCCGACGTGCTCGCCCATCGCCTCGGCATCCAGGTCAAGGAGCTCGCCGCGCTCTCGTCCAAGCTGCTCGAGGACAAGCTCATCTGCACCTTCCGCCGCAACGAGATCCGCGACGCCATCACCAACCGCAGCGTGCCCCGCACCTATTACTACCTCGACTACAAGCTCTTCCTCGACGTCACAAAGTGGCGCATGATGTCCATCCGCAAAAAGATCGACACCCGCCTACGCAACGAGCTCGACAACAAGGGCTACCTCTGTCCGCGTTGCAAAAAGTCCTACTCCACCCTCGAGGTCGCCCATCTGCTCGACATCTTCCGCAACGTCTTTGTCTGCGAGACGCCCGGCTGCACCACCGAGCTCGTCGACAACGAAGAGGCGGAAGACGTCAAACGAAGCAAGGACAGCCTCATGCGCTTCAACGAGCAGCTCGCCGCACTGCTCGGCGGCCTCCGACGCACAGAAGGCATTGTCTTGCCACCGCTCGACGTCGGTGCCTGGCTCACCAAGCACGCCGCCTCGCAGCCCTGGTTCGCCGCACGCTCCGACGAGGCAGGCTCGCTGCCGTCGTCGTCGAGCGTCAGCGCCGCCCCCACGCTGCAGGTGGATCTGGCGTCCAACGATCCTGCCGCCGAAGCCGCGCGCCGACTCGCCAAGCAAAAGGCAGAGGACGAGCAGAGGAAGCAAAACGCGCTGCCCGCATGGCATCTCGCCAGTACCGTCAGCGGCGAGCAGACCGCGCTCGGACGCAAGCAGGAGCGCCTGCACTCGTCCAGCGGCATCGACGTGCACGACGGCAAGGACGACGACGACGCCGACGACGACGACTACTACGCCCAGTACGCCAGTCTGCAGACCGCCGAGGCGGCCGCATCGTCCAAGCCCGACGCCACGCCCGACGTCGACGAGGAGGACTTTGAAGACCTGGAGCCCGTCTCGCCCGGGCCGTCGCCAGCCAAACGGTCGCGCTCGCCCGATGACGGCGATAGCGACAAGAAGAGAGCCAGGACGGAGCCGCACGCCGCTCCCACTTCCACGGCAGTCGAGAACGGCGGCGGTGGCGACGACGACGACGACGACGATGGCGGCATGGACGACTTTGAGGATGTCGTGTAGCTCCGCGTCTGGCGCAAGCATCCATTTGGCTCAGATGCGCGCGCCCTGCAACCGGTTTGTGGCGTTGCTTTTGGCCCTGTGAGGTTCCGACTCCCCCATTCTTCCTCTCTCTCTCTCTCTCTCTCTCTC